TGTGATGGTGGTGGAGGGGGACTGCATTCGAGTTCTCCCCTTAAAAAATAAAAATAAATCTTAAAAAAAAAAAGACACTCCCCCCAGGTTAACATTTCTTATATGGCTACTTAATCATCTGGTAGTTAATAGACTTCCCAGCCATATAATTATCTACTTACTATTTTCTCTTTGCTTACACAGGCATCATGAGACATTTATTAAGTGTTTCACTCAAGTTGGAATTCATTAACTTAATCCTATTTCCCCTAGCCACCTTGTAATTAAATCTTCTAAAAATGAAATTAGGTTAATTTAATGTGGCATGTTAAGGATCTTGTGCTGGCTTCTCACGACCACTGAGCCCTTCTAGTATTGAAAAATCCATCTGCCTAACACTTGGCTTTTACATTTTGCTGAAGTTTACTTTTATCCAACAAATACTTATGATTCATTGTAAACATCAATTGGTTTAATCCCCTTTAAGTATTATATTACATTATAATCTCAAAAAAATATGTAAAAGAAAACCAAGGCAGAGCAGGAGGTTAAGGAATGTGCCCAAGGCCACAGATTTTTAAAAAATGGCAGAGACTGTGAACCATATTTGGCTCAGCAGAGTGGCAATGAGTCAACCCACAGACTGCTTTGCACTGTAGGGGAAGGGAGCCCTGTCCACCAGAACGGGGGTAGTGGGGAGATGGCCCTCTGAGACCAGCAGCTCAGCCTATAGCACATGGATAAAAGACATTAAGGTAAGACCTGAAGTTCTGGGGACCACTGGGAAGCCATGGAGGAACTGTCAAGAGGTTGGCACAGCTGGCTGTTTTCTGGCTGCTCCCTAGATACACATAAAACAGCAAAACTGACAGATACAATTATACAAAACTAATGTAAAAAAAAAAACCCTTATGTACAACAAAGAAAATAATCAACAGAACAAAAAGACAACACAATGAAAGAGAATGCCTGTTGATATTTACCTGATGAAGAGTTAATATCTAGAATATATAAGTAACTCCAAACAAACTGTAAAAATAAAAAATCTAAGTAAACCAATTAAAAGGGAGCAATAGCCAGGTGTGGTACAAACCTGCAGTCCGTCACTTTGGAAACAGGGTCAGGAAGATAGTCATGCCAGCCTGGCTACATGGCAAGTTCCCATCCCACCAGGTACCCTTTTTCAGCCTAAACAAAACATTTTACTGTATTTATTTCTGGTATCGAGTCTAACTTGCTTTGTAAACTCAGCATTGTTTTAAAGATTCACCCAAAAAGCTTATGGGCTATTGTGTTTCACTGCTGTGGAGTATTTTATATTTGTTCTCCGTGTTTCTGTAGTGAATATTTGGAATCACAGATTTTTGCAGATATTAATGTTTATATATATATATATATATATATATATATATATATATATATATATATCTCAGTCTAATGGTTAAATCATTTTCTTCTGTGATATTGGTCTATCCTCTTTGCAGCTTAGAATCACATAGGACTTTAAATTTACCCCAGATATTTACACTTAATTACAGTCATCTCAAAAACAATGCTCTAGGGTATATATCCAGAGAAATAGTTGAGTCTAAGTACTCTGATGTCTCCAATTCACTGTGGTTGAGTTACCCAAAGCCAGGGTCCCTAATCACAGCTTCCCAGCAGCAGTCCACACAGCTCCTTTTTCTTTGTGTTTTTTGCTCTCACATTTGCCCCTTCTTTTGCCAACTTTGAGAATATAAAAATGATAGTTTGCATCTGTATTCTATTTTGTTGGCTAGTTCTTTTTCCTTTTCAGCCAAACCACTCATCAATTCATTTTATATTTTCTTGTTTAAATCCTTCTACTTTATTTTGCCTTTTTAATGTTTAGAATATTTCATTTACATATGGTACACACACACACATACACACACGATGACCTTTCTGTACAGTACTTTTTTTCTTCCTGGAAATGGAGCAGGATCCCTTCTGAAATGGGGACTTATGTTGCTCCATTCAGAAAGGTGATGATCCGTTTCTGTGACTTACCTTGGAGAAAAGCATGTCTTGCTTCAGGCTGGCACTTACACGCTGAAAGCTACAGCTTGAATCACAAATATATATAACCTTGTGAGAAAGTCCTAAACTTCGATATGATTACACAGCTACAATTTTACTAAAATCATTGGGTTGTGCTTTCAATGGGTTTGTTTTATAGGTATAAAATTTTAATTCAATTTTTGAAATAGTTACAGAGCTTTTATTAGCAGTTTTTTTTTCCTCTGGATGAGAAGAATCAACTATAACTCTTACATTTCCAGGCAATAAATATTTTACATTAAGATTGTTATGTCTAGGAATCAAACTGTCTTTTGTTACTGGGTTAAATTGCTTTGAATATATTAAGCAGCACTGTTCAAGAATTCAGGACATCTTTCTGATTGCTCAGTTCACATGTCTCCAATTCCTTTTTTTAATTATTCTTCTCAAAATTCCCACTAAGGATTAGTGGCAGAGCACGACGGTGGCTGACACAGTACTGGACAGCAGTTCTCCCACCAAACTAGCTCACAGCACCTAAGGGCATCAGGTAAGTGTGCACAGTACCTGTGCTTACTGAAACAGATGAGCAGGCAGCTGAATAAGGTGGGAAGAAGTTGCCATGTCATCCTGCTTCAGGCTCCACACAGCCTGCCGCAGAGATACCTTCCACTCAGGAGAGAAAGAAAGACTTGGGCTCAGACTTGTAACCAGTGAGACCTAGCGCTATGGAGAGCTCTGTGGTCCCTACTTCTAGGTCACTCCAGTAGACTGAGCTGCTTAACTTCTTTTGGTAGATGCTCTTTGGTTCTACCATTTCCTGAAACCTATGCCAGCAAAGCAGGGCTCAAGCCTCTAGCAGTGACACATGGAACACAAAAGGAACAGGAATTTATACTAGAGCCCAGTGCTAGGTCTGCCACAGAGAGCCGGGGCACCTGGGAGGAATAGGAGGTTCTGGGTGCAGGTCAGAGCTCAGAGATGGAGTCTTTAGCCTGGTTCTGACATCAAGCAGAGGCCTGTGAGCTGGTACACAAATTGGAGTTTTGGTCTTAGCACTTTCAGCTTTGGAGTGGAGCTGAGGCACACACTTCCCTTCCCAAACAGTTTACGCCCTGGAGATTTTAAGACTCTGGTGTGTCCTGTCTTAGTAGTTTCCCTCACAGCCAGTCTCCCAACTTGGTAGCACAGTTATCACCAGTACTCATGTGTCAGGCTTTGGAACTTCTCTGGTGTCAGTAGACCTTGTCCCAGTAGACAGACTTGTTTTGGCCTGCATCACAGCCAGCTGTGGTGTGACCCCAGTGTGTCTGTAAGACTAAGTACTTATGGCAGTGAGACTCAGGCATGACCCAGCTTAGCCCTAGCATAGGTGGCCCAGAGTGTCTTCTTGGGAGAGTGCTGCTGTCCCAAGCTGGGATAGAACAGCACAGCCTGAGACCTATCTGCTATGGAATAATCTTTCTGTACACTTAAATATATATTATTCTCATCAGTTAATAAAGAACTGACCGGCTGGTAACCATGCAGGAAGTATGGGCAGGACAGCCAAACTGAGAATGCTGGGAGGAAGGAGGGCAGAGTCAGGGGAGTTGCCAGGAGACACAGAGGGAGCAAGACATGCTAGAGGGCAGGTAAAGCCACGAGCCATGTGACAATACAAAGATAAGAATTATGAGTTAATTTAATTTGTAAGAGCTAGTTAGTAATATGCCTGAGTTATCAGCTGAACATTTATAATTAATATTAAGCTTCTGTGTCAGCTATTTGGAAACTGGAAGGCGGGACAGAAACTTGCGCCTACGTCTATTTGTTAGTGTTGGGGCAAGATTGTAAGCATGAGACTGCCTTGTAACTTAGTGCAGTGCTGATAAATCTCAACACTGGGAAGACCCTGAAAACCACCCCCTCCACACACAGACACCAGATCTGCCTGCCAATAAAGCCTCTGGAACAGCAGCAGACCCAGGGAGGACATGCACCCTAAGTCTGTTGGACTGCCAGGCCAGCTACTTTAGCCTGTGTTTATTTCCAATGGTCATGGGCCACAAATCTGTAGACGAATTTCTAAATAGTCTTAGTAAATAAGAAACACAGAGCCAAATACAGAGGAAATAGCCAGAGATCAGAGCAACAGCCAAACTTTAGCTTACCACCAGAAGTAGCTTCCCCAGACAGCTTCTTCCTGTCTGACTTGTCGTTTTATTGCCTTTCTGTTTTGCCTTCTCATTGGCTCTAAACCCAACCACATGACTTCCTCGTCACTGCCTGTCTATACAGACCTCCAGGTCTCTATGGTTGGTACTGGGATTAAAGGTTATGTCACCACACATGGCTGTGTCCTTGAACACACAGAGATTCTGCCTGCCATGTGATCGGATTAAGGGCGTGTGCTACCACCGCCTGACTCTGCTCATGGCTTGCTTTGACCTCTGATCTCCAGGCAACTTTATTTAATAACATACAATTAAAATCACATTTCAGCACAAATAAAATATCACCATACAAATCCATCTCAGCAGTGAGAGTCTGTGTCCTAACTCAATCATTGTACTGATCTTGTCAGGCTGTGGGTTCGGTGTATCACACAGCTTGGTGGAAGTGGTGGCTACATATGTGACACAGGAGAGGGAGGTGAGTCTGCCCGGACGAGGGCTAATCCAGCCAGGAGACTAACCACAGGCCAGTAACTGTGGAAGAGGCATCTTACCCTAACCTGGTACCAGAGAGAATCTTGAATCATTTCTAGGAGGCAGGCTATTCCTAGATCTCTAATTTCTTTTTCAACAGTACTCCAAGACTGTATAGGAACAAACCTGGGCTTAGATTCCCATCTAAAACTGCAACATTGACAAGACACCCATAGCAGAACCCCAGCAAATTTGCACCAGGGTGCCATCTAGTGCTAAAACACGGGAAGTGACAACAAGCTCAGAGAAAATCAGCCTCCCTGGGAACAGACAGGTGCAGTGGAAGTCGGACTAGAGTAAACACCTTACCCTTGGATGCTCACACATCACACCAGCTCGCACCAATGCTGGGCTCATGTAGGACTCAGGCAGTAACCTGCACGGGAGAAGTCTCAGTGAGAAGCTGAAATTACTGTTTTAAGAAAATTTGATGAGCTTAAGGGAACAGAAACATTTCAATATCCTAACAGAGGAACTCATCAAGCTGAAAGCAATTAAAAAGTTCCCAATGTAAACAATATTCACAGTGAAATTGAGAATCTCATGGAAGGCATCAAAAGCAAGTGGGTTAATCAGAGTCTGTGAACTTGAAGATGTGAACTTAAAATGCACTGCTGGAGAGAAAAAGAATGAGAAAGGGAAAAAGCGATGGGAAGACTGGGAACTACTGAAAGAACAAGTATGTTGGGGTGCAAGAAGGATCTGTGAATGCCAAAGAAGAAGAAAGTCGATTCACAGAAATAATAATAGGAAAGTTCCCAAACCTGGAGGACAGAAAAATCTTATAGAAAAGGCAAAAGTCACCGATCAAATTTAAGTCAACAAAGTCTACCCCACAATGGTATAATCAAGCAAGCTCTTACAGGTGGAAGGCAGAAGATCCCTAAGGCTGTAAGGAACAAGAAAGAACACGCAGGGGAGACCCAATTCACCTAACAGTACACTTCCCAGCAGAGCTGGGAGTGCTGTGAGATTCCATGGTAAAGAAGAACAATACCTGCCAGCAAACTATTCTGTAAAAATGAACAGATAATGACATTCCCAGATCAAAGCCAAGTGCATCTGTCTAGACCTGTTCTAGAAGTAATGCTAAAGGAAGTTCTTCAGACTGAAGCAGAAATTAAAGCATTCTAAGAGCACAGGACAGCTGTGCTCCTAGCACTTAGGAGGTGGATGCAGCAGGGTCAGGAGTTCAAGGTTACACATAGCAAGTTCAATGCCGGCCTGGCCTACAAGAAATCATGTCAAAGAGGGTAGAGAAGCAGAGAAATAAAGGAGGGGAAGGAAGGGAAAGAAAAGAAGGAAAACACAAGACTGTAAAACAAGGTAAGAGTGAATATGATGCACACTCAGGACACTATAGTATTGTAAGCATGGTGCAGACAGCATCCAGATATTTAGCATAAACACTAAAAAACAAACAAACAACAACAACAAACCAAACAAACAGATGATGGGACCTAGCTGGACATATGTACTCATATAAATAAGTAAACTCAGATTTTCAAGTTCCAAATCGGTACATGGAAAAATGACAGAAGTACATAATCTACATTGTCTGAAAATGTACACACAGCTAAGTATGGTGGCTCACACCTCTAATCCCAGCACTGGGGAGGCTGAGGCAGAAGATCTGTCCCAAGTTCAAGACCAGCCTGGGATACAGGTCAAGTCTGTCTCAGCAAACAAAAGCTAGTTGATAGAGTGTACAGGCTCTTATTGCATAGAGGCTGGGTTGTTGTTCACATAGTTTCTACTCAGAATTTGAGTAGAAAACTAGCAATCACCTACAGTTGAAGCACATGAAAAGGGAGCGCTGGTGTACAGCTGAGGAGCTGGCAAGAGTTTCATGAACAAACTGACCACTGGGATTGGCAGCTAGGGAGAGGAAGGGAACACAGACTATAATCCAATCACATTTGAGGTTGGTGGTGATGTTTATTTTTCTATATAGAGAAGGAATAGATTTGGGCTAGGAATAAAACACAAAATCCTTTTGAGAGACATGTGAGCCGTTGTATAGTAAAGAAATATCATTTTCTCTTACTTTTGTTATTTACTTGCTAAAGCTCATACCCAAACTACAGAGCAGCAAAACGATGGCCTGAAAATTTACTTTGAGCATTTTCACTGAATACAGGTTGTTTTGAACCAGTTGTTTACCTACACTAAAACCTGTGTTCAATAAGTGAAACAAAATGGGATGGATTTTCTCAAAAGCAGATTTTTTTCCAGGTATAACACCACCAATTACATGGAAATTAACCTATAAAATTAGGCAAGTTGCACTGGCAGTGTAGCTCAGTGGTGCAGCCTAACTTGTATAGGCCCCAAGTTTGATCTCAAGAACCAAACAAAAAACAACAAAGAAAGACGATCGATTGATTAACAAGTTTCATTCTTTGGGGGAAATTTATTTTTATGTTCATATTAGCTTTGAGAACTGTGGCTTTTTAAAAATAGTAGGAGTGAATTAGTTAGTTTTTCTATATTGTGAAAGCTAACTCTTGGGGGGATAGTTATTACCACAAAAGAAACTTACTCTGGAGACTAAGGATCAGGTGTAACTATGTGAACAACAACCCAGCCTCTATGCAAATAAGAGCCTGTACGCTCAGACCTGGGGAAGGGACAGGGACAAGGAATGTCCGTTGGTGCCTTTATGGCCAAGATTATAGCTGAGATAAAGGTGCATTTTAGATACATATTAACACATTATTATGTCCATTTTTCAGATGAGGGAATGGAGATACAAAGAAATGAAATATGCTCCAAGTCACATGCTATTAAGATGTCAGACTGGATTTTTAACCTAGGAAATCCTGGCTTCAGAGACTGTGTTTATATCCATTCAACTATGTTTCTTAAGTAAGTCAACTGGGAACTTTCAATTAATTGGAGTAATCTTGAAAGTCTGGAAATTAAGTTGCTGTCAGAGGGCCTGTATCTGTTCTTGGTTTGGGGTATATGAGATTTCCTTTCTCAGTAAAGGGTATTCACAAAGTAAAACACTGTAATTTGAATAGGTGGTGTACCGTTCTGTAAAGTGGGCATAATAATGTGTCGAGTTAATACGTGTCTAAAACGCAACTTTATCTTAGCTATAATCTTGGCCATAAAGGCATCAACAGACATTCCTGGTCCCTGTCCCTTCCCCAGGTCTGAGTTTACAGGCTCTTACTTGCATAGAGGCTAGAGGCTGGGCTGTTGTTCACATAGTGTAAGGTTTAGTACTGTAGTCAAGACTTCCCAGCCTGTTTCGCTTTGGCAGTTCTTCCTTAGCTACTCCTTACTCCCCTCTTAAAACTAAAATTCCTCGCCTACTAAGCAAGCAAATAATGGTATCATTTTGCAATAATAATGTTAGGATTAAATGAGACAGAAATGTTTAAAACTGCTCTCTGTTTAAGCATTCGTCATAAACACGCCTTTGTTATAACTGTTCTCTGCTTTCCTTTGGGCAATCCTCATTTTTAAATGACAACACATGACTGAAATTGGTAGCAGACGGATGAAAAGGGAGCTGGAATGGGCTCCCTCTCTAACTGTTGCGCGTCAGCCTCTTTCCCAAAGCCCCTCTATTACGTCCTGTGCTGTGAAGGAACAGGAGAAGATGAAGTGTTTGGAGAAGGATCACGAGCAACGGTGTCTTGTTTTCTTACGGTCTAAGATTTAGGAAAACATTAAGCACACTGACTGTTTAATTCAAACCGTTCCCTAACAAGGGGTGTTTAGGTGTTCTTGACTAGGAAAAATGAAAACGCAAAGACAAAGGCCACTTAACCACCTGAAATAGAAAGCGCTGCCGATGCCTTAAGGTGGATCATGACCACTTCCGGTCCGAAGAGTTGAGAACCTTTCTATTCTGTTTCCTCACGTCGTCAGTCGGAAGGTTAACTTTTCCCTTCCTGGAAAAGGACAGACCTCGTGGTTTCACTTCATTTCTACGTAGCCACGCCCCTTTCAGGTTTACCGCGCCGTTTGATTACATCACACGCCATCAACACAGGAAATATCGCGAGGTCTCCACTTGCGCTCCCTTCGAACTCGATCAGCTGTGAGAATTACTTTTATTCTCGCGATATTTTCGTGGACGCCGGGCTCGGGCGACCCGGGCTTCTGTGAAACATGGCGGTGGGCTGGGACCGTAGCACTAGGTAAGACGCCGAAACCCCGCTGGGGCCGTTTTCTTCGGTAGTTCCGGGCGGATGGGGACGTGGGCGCGGTCGAAGGGCTCACAGTCCCGGCGCTGGCTCAGCTTGGGACCTCCGTGGCTCTGCGGGGAGCAGCTGGCTGCGGAGCCGCTCCGCTGCCTGGGGGCGTTCCTGCCGAGTGTCGCCGGCGTCCGCGCACCGCGGCCCGGAGCTCCGCTGCACGGCTCCTCGCTGGCCGGCCGCGCCTTCCGTTGTCTTGTCCAGGCTGTCGTGGACAGTGGCGGCCTCGCCAGCACCGTGCTTACTCTTGCTGTCTTTTAAATTAAAAATCAGGCCGAGAGAGGGGCCGGGCCAGGCGCGGACGCCAAGACAAGTGGTGTGTGTCCTGTCGTCAATTGCTGACCCTCTCGGGAGGGGATGGCTCAGCTCCTGCTCCAGGACTTCCATGGGTACCCATAGACTGGATCTGACAGCTCCGTGAGCAAACGTTTCATTAACTTCAAGTGTGGAATTTAGTGCCCTGCAGACTATAGGCAAGTAACAGCTGTTCCGATGTTGCGAGATAGGTTTTCGGAAGCAATTAAAGACAGTTAAAATAGGCTTTGTTCATTGGCTTGAAGTTGTAATTCCAAATTTCAGTTCTTCAACCTAATATGTAGAACTCCAGCGTACATAACTAAAGAAACGAGTCTGCTGGTTTGAGGAGGGATTATTGCCTACCTTATTTATTAGTTACCTTAAGTTATTTTTAGTTTTTCACTTTGTAGAGGAAGATCCTGAGAAGTAGAAGTTTCATGTTTTTATAGTGAGGGTTGGGAGGAGGAGAAACTTTTTTTCTGATAGTAAACTTCAGTACGTTACTGAGTATTGTAACAGCTTCGTGGTACATGTTACAGAAATATGGCAAGATAAGAGATCTCTGAAAGGAAGTTACTGTATTCTAGAACAAGAACAACAAAGATTTAGAAAAAAATTAACAAGTTTATTTTCACCGGGGTTAGTCGTTTAAATAATTCATTTTTTAAGCAGAAGTTGGTTTTTGTGTGCTACAAGTTCTATTTAGTAGTTTTCCTAGATTTTAATTATTTGTTTTAATGCCAGAGAGCTTATCAGTTAACTTTTGCGTACTAGTTTTCTCATCAATAAAAAGAGAATAATGAGGTAATACTTATCTCATAAAAAGTTGGGAAGAGTACGTATTTCAGATAATAGAAGTATTTAGAACAGTGCCTACCATACTGCTCTTAAGCTTTTGTTACTTGTCATGTTTTGGCTTCTGAAGTTTCCTGTGGCTTGGCTACTTAGGCACAATAGAGACTGAAGAAGATCCTTGAAAAAATAGTTTCTTTCTAACCCCTAAAATTGATTAAACACTTGAAGGGTATGGGTAATAGGAAAACTCTAAACACTTGTCTTCCTCGATTTGGAAAACTGCTGCCCTCTTAATTAGTAATGCACACATTTGTCTTTCTGTGGCTCCTTCCAGTCGTGTTTATATCAGTAATGCTCTCTGACTTCTTCATTAACCTATTCTCTCCTTTTTTTTTTTTTTGTTTGGTTTTTTTTTTTTGGTTTTTCGAGACAGGGTTTCTCTGTGTAGCTTTGCGCCTTTTCTTGGAACTCACTTGGTAGCCCAGGCTGGCCTCGAACTCACAGAGATCCACCTGGCTCTGCCTCCCAAGTGCTGGGATTAAAGGCGTGCGCCACCACTGCCCGGCTAACCTATTCTCTTGCTCCTGCAGAACATTTACATTGTAGATTATTTCATGTGCTCTTGACCTTTTCTAGTTGTATGTCCTTATTTTAGTCTTAGGAACTTTGTTTGAGTAGCTACTGTTGTCCTTACTTCCTGTCCTTACTTCCAGACTCCTGTTGGAATGACACTTGTCGGTCGTCTCTTTTAACGTTTACTCAATACCTCACTTCTATTTTGATTAATACCTGGTGTAGCCCATATGTACTACTTTCTTAGATAACAATATGTAAGGAATTCTGAGAAGTTGAAGATCTTCACATTTGTTGTAACAACTAGTAAGTTCCTAGAAGGTAGTTTGGTTGGTTGGTTGGTTGGTTGGTTGGTTTTTCAGATCACAAAACTTGCACAGCATATTACTTGTCTCTCCAGTGAACTTTTTATCATTAAGAAACTTATGGGATTAAACCTATTTACTATAAACTAGGGAGCCTAAAGTAGTGAAAATTTATTCTTTTCAGTTTTCAAGCGTCAAAGTCCAAAACCAAGAAGCGTCCTGCTTTGTCTGAAGGTTTGAGACAGAATGTTTCCTTGCTTTCCTGGCTTCTGAACAATCCATGTAAACACATCACTCTACACTCAGTCTTTGCATGACATTCTCCACTCAGTATTGGGGCCTTCACCATGTGGTCTTGAAAGGACACCAGTCCTTTTTTGGATCACTCTAATCCACTGTGATTTCCAAATAAGGTTCCAGATATTTCCATATAAGATTTATTCACAAATACCAAGGCCTAGGACTTCCGAATATCTCTTTGAAGACATAGTTTAATCCATATTGTAGTGGTATGCTAATCATTTAACTATTTCTCATTGAGCAGTATACATTATAAATAGCAGGTAATTCATAAAACATTGGTAACAGAAGATATATTCTTGTGCTAATGAGATGGCTCGTGTGGTACAGGTGCTTGCCACTGAGCCTGGTGCTTGCTTTTCATCCCCAGGACCCATATGGTAGAAGGAGAGGACTGATTGTTACAAATTGTTCTCTAACATCTACATGTGTGCCATGGCACAGATGCTCCTCCCCGATAAATGTAATTAAAATAATTGAGCAGACTATATAATAAAGTTTCTTGAGTTCTGTATTTTATCTCACTATATTCAAATTGATATGATAAAGGAGACTATATACTGCTTTCAGGAGTGTTGGTGTCTATTTCAACAGGAAGAGGTTTATTATTTCTTAAGCAGTTGGTCAAGTCTTGTCTTAGTTGCTATCAGCACATCCTTGAGGTTTAATTTTTGTTACTTTTTTTAAAGGACAGTTTAGGGGAGACAGCAAAGAAAGCAGAAGTGGTATTAGAGATCACTAAAGTGTACATACAGTGTCTACCGGTGAACAGAAACATCATGCAGAGACTCCTTAGTCTTTGGATTTTGTAGAACAATATGGAAATAGATACAAGAATAATGCCAGTGAAGGCTGGGTTTGAAGATGGAAATAGATAAAATTACAGTGTTAATTTTATTAAATAAGGATATCCAAAGCAAAAAACCCTATGTTATCTACTGTATCTCTTCTTTTATTTTTATTTTATGGGTATGGGTATTTTGCCTATGTGTATGCGTATACACCATACATGCATACACCATACTGTGCATGATTTCTTTGGAGACATCAGATAATGGTGGAATAAGGGGAGAAAAAACAAGTACTTACTGATCCAGGTACAGAAGCTATGGGGAAGTTATGAATATACCTAGATATCCATAGAAGTTGGCAACAAGTCCTGAAGGCAGGGGCACTGGAATTGGGAACAGACTTTGCAGCCAGGCTGCTTGGAACTAAATCCCTGTTCTACATAGTACCACTTGCACCTTCCTGGGGAAAAATGTATGACTGTTCTTATTTATAAGAAGGAATAAAAATAGCATCTGTGGTATAGAAGAGTAAGTTAATATGTTAAGTGTATTCAGTAGTACCTAACATGAAAGTTAGTTGTTCTGTATGTCTTAACTGCTATTATTAGGGCTATTATTATCAAAGAGAAGAGGTGGGATGAGAAATATGATTAAGAACACATAACTTTTTACCCCAAGAGTCTTAGGAATGAAATATTGAATGGGAGTTATAAGATGAAGAAGTAGGATTTCATAAAGACCAGCAATTGGATACCTTGTTCATGTCACAGCAGTGGCATATACAGTGTCAAGTGTTGGAGATGGAATGGGTTCTTGGAAGTAGTGAGTTTGCAGGAACGGGACAGGAGAAGTAGTAGACTGGCAGCCTGCTTCCTTCTAAAATGGTAATCCTAGGAAACAGTCATGGAGGAGGCCTGAGACTTGGTGGTAGCCCTGTGGGCTGTACTGTCTGGCTCAAGGGAGGGGAAATGCATAGATTGTGTTTGTTCTTGGAGTTTGTGAGACTAACAGCTACTTGCCATAGTTTGATAGTATAATTTAAACTTTATTTATAAAGCTTACTTTGAAAGTATACTTAAGTTTTGGAAGTAGTTATTTCTTCAACGTTATACAGCTACTGTTCAGAGCTGGTGATTCTCTAGTGAGCAAAACAAAATTGTTCCTCCTGGATAGTGTTTCTAGATGTTCATTTACCCAAATATGACAGTTTGGATTTGCTGTCTATGCTGCTATGGGTGTTTCCCTTCCTTCCCTCAGTGTTTATCTGCCTACTGTGTGAGGCATTGGCATTGCAGAGGTGATGTTAGATAGGGTTCTTTCCTCTGTCCTGTGGAGAAAACAGAATATGCAGGTAGTGGCTAGAAACAGTTCTAGGCACACAAGGCCCAGAAGAGTAAGAAGAGGAGTCAGTCACATGATAACTGGGGGGAGAGGACAAGCAACTCTGGCAGAGAGAGCAGAATGAACACTGAAAGGTTTTCAGTGTTGCTAGAACTCAGACAGCAAGACATGGGGTTTGACGGACTTGGTTTGTGAAGGATTCTGAAGCCATTTTAGGATGGTCTAAATACTGTGTCATGGGAAGTGACTCAAGGGCTTTAGGAGAGATAATATGCAATCTGATGGCTGTCAATAATTGATTCATAGTAGTAAGGGAAGTGAATTGAAGCAGTGCCACAAATTGTGGCCATGGAGACTAAGGTAAGGGACTTCTGAGCCCCTGGGAAGAAAGCAAATAAAGAAACTTAGGAAGAGGTTAAGTCTGAAGGTGTAACCTGTGTTTCTGGCTTGTGCAGTTTGGTGTGTACTGTTGTTGTTAATCATTAAGACAAGAAAGTGGAGGAAAACCAGTGGTGAAGTATTTCAGTGTTGGACTGGGAAAGAAATATATATTGTAGAAGGCAAGGAGATAGTCTTCTGAGGGGTCATAGCTGAAAATGAAGATTAGGAGGAATCCAAATCTAGATGGAAAATGAGGGATCAGGAAATCACTTGGAAAAATGAGCATCATGTCCAATTCCAAAATCTTGGGTTTTGAAGCAGTTTGGCTTTTCAGCTTTTGATTTTGAGATTTGGGTGCTTGTTGAATTTCTTAGGACAAGGTAAGAGACTGTTTCATAGGAAGATGATATCTCTCTCTCTCTCTCTCTCTCTCTCTCTCTCTCTCTCTCACACACACACACACACACACACACACACACACACACACACACACACGAAACACACACACACACGAAACACACACACACACGGGTGGAGAGTGAGAATATGGATATCAATACATTGTAGACAAAACTACAGTTTGAAGTTTTTCTCTTGGACTTAGTACCATGAAAGATGACAACCCTGAGCCAGTTTAGTCAGGAGATGAGAAGGAATGAGATATAGAGTTGGGCTGTCGGTGTGCTATCAGAGGAGATCTGTACTTACATTTGGATTGAGTTTAGGGGAGAGTAGTATTTTGCTGCACAAGCCTGAAGAGTTTGGACCTTAGTGCCCATGTTAAAAAGCTGTGTGGTGGCATGCATGCACCTCTAATCCCAGCAATGAGGAGACAGATACAAGAGGACTTCTGGAGGCTTGTTGGCTGTCCAGTTTATCTGAATTGATTAGCTCCAGGTTCAGTGGGAGACCTTGTCTCAAAAGTAAGGTGGAGAGATTGAGGACAGTGCTTAGCATTGATCTCTGGCTTCCACATACACATGTACACATGTACATGCATGGGCAGATGCACAAGTATGCACCATACACACATAAACACAAATCTCAGTCATATACAGTGAATAGAGATTGAATGATTGCAGTGCCAGTCTTAGGTTTCTGCTTAGGTTTTGAAAGTGATCTAGAGATGATTTAAATGTGTTGAAGAAGATGTGCTGGGATCATTTGCAAGTCTGCCACCTTAGGAAATAGCTTGAGCACTGTGTATTTCCTTACTGTCTGTGTAATCAGCTCTCCATGTTCCTAATATCGTAAGTGTCTGAGAACTTAGTCACAGCTTGTGTTACTTAAATTATATATAATTTGTCAACTTAATACAAAATAAAATTTCTAAGTGTTAAAATTTAACATTCAAATTTAAATACTTTTTGAATGTTAAAAATGTGACAGTTTCCCACTTTTTTTTTTTTTTTTTTTTTTTTTTTGGTTTTTCAAGACAGGATTTCTCTGTGTAGCTTTGTGCCTTTCCTGGGTCTTACTCGGTAGACCAGGCTGACCTTGAACTCACAGAGATCCTCCTGCCTCCGCCTCCTGAGTGCTGGGATTAAAGGCGTGCACCACCACCTCCTGACAGTTTCCCACTTTTGATTGTTTTTCATTTTAGTGTGTGTTTGTGTATTGTCTTTCACTCATAATTTTGTCAGAGTGGTAATAATTTTTTTTTTTTTGTCAAGGAGAGTTGGGAATACTGCTTTCTGAGAAAATAGGTCATATATTTCACTTATCTGTTTGTTCCTTAGCATGACTATATGAAGGAAGAGGAAAGTTTTTCTGAAGATGAGGCGACTGAATCGGAAAAAAACCTTAAGTTTGGTGAAAGAGTTAGATGCCTTTCCCAAGGTTCCTGACAGCTATGTGGAGACATCAGCCAGTGGGGGAACAGGTGAGCTAGCTTCAGACTCTGATTTACTGATCACCAACATGTGGGTGCCGGCCATGAGGATGAGCTCACCGCTGGGCCTTACAGTGCCTTTGCTACTGCTCATCCTGTGCCAGATTGCTCTGCCTTTACTATCTGTATTCTCTGTAGCGTCTGGCAGTCTCTCTGTGCCTTTAGCAGTGTTTATTAAATGTTGGTGAGCAAGTAGTACAGTTTACATTTTGGTACTGTTCCAGTTGTGCATTACTGTGTTTATATATTATTATATATATTACATACATTATATTACATATAATATATATTATATTCTTACATATAAATGGATTTGAAAGTGAGAGGAGGTAGGAAAGGCTGCTGACACAGCCCTGTTCCTGTTCTGTGTTGGGTGACAGTAAAGACTTGCTGTAAGAAGATCCCCAGAGTGGAGTGAGAGCTAGTTGAGTTACATCTATCTGTCTTACTTCTTCTGTGAAATGAGGATGTTAGTATTTATATTACTAGGGGTTAATGTATTAATTATGTAACTTTTTATGTGTTAAGTGCCTAGAGCAACACTTGGTACAAATAAAAGTATTTGTTAAAGTAAGTGATAAAATATGCAAGAAAAGTCTATACCTATAATAATACTTCCTATTATTTTTCCCCATGATGAATTAATAAGGTAACATTTCATATGCTATTGCAACCTCATTGGGTAAAAAAAAAATGTGTATTGTAGGGTGCATATAACTTAGTTGGTAGTGCTTGCCTAGGATGTGTGGAGCCCTCGCTTTGAACCCTAGCACCACATAAACTGGGCATGGTGGTACATGCCTGTAATCCCAACACTAGGGAGGTGGAAGCAGGAAGATCTCAACTTCAAGATCATTCTTGATTACATAGCCAGTTGTAGCCTAGCCTGAACTACTTGAGACTCTGGCTCAAAAAAACAAAACAAAACAAACAAACAGAAAGCCCAAGTAAATAAAATAAAGTGCAGTAAAATGGCTTGCTAGTTCTAACCCCTGTGAGTGAAAAGAGTGCCAGTTCTTGTTGCACAGCCTGCCTTGTATCTTGTATTATTTAGTGAATTCTTTTGATGAGGTTTTTATTTTGCAATGTAGTAATATATTTAGGGTATTGCAAAATTAGATGAAAATATTTTAGAGGCTTGGAGAGCTTATTCGATTTTCTGGCTCACAGAGTTATGGCATCTCAGGACCTAGTTTGTTTTAAGTTGCGTTCTGAGCACATGTATTTCTTAATAATGAGGGAAATATTTTTAAGTTGGCACTGTCAGCATGCTTATTTTTATTACTTACCCTCTAACTGCTGTCTGTCTGGTGATGGACGCTGTTGACACTGAAGACAAGTAATTCTCTCTCAGTATGCAGATGTTTGTGTTCCTGTTTGTGCTCGCTCTGGGTTTTCATTTCTGAGCTGGTTTAAACGTCGATAACATTTTAAGAGAAATCATTTATACTGTTTATTCAAATAATGTTCATATTGGACACTTTTCTTTCCCTCGTTTAATGCTGCTTAAGATAGCTATTTACTTTTTATTGTTTTAATTCTTTTTGTCTTTTTTTTGATTCCTCAGTTTCTCTAATAGCATTTACCACTATGGCTTTATTAACAATAATGGAATTCTCAGTGTATCAAGATACGTGGATGAAGTACGAATATGAAGTAGACAAAGATTTTTCTAGGTAACAAAGTTTTTCTTCTTGATGCCCTTAGATTCACATTTTAAAAAATAACATCCTTTGAAAATATCCATTGTTTTGGTTTATCGTATTTTTGAAGAAATAGCACTGGAAATTGTCATTAGTTGCTTGTATTAGTTGAAGCATTTTAGAATCTAAGTACTGGTTAAATTCTAAAACAGGTTTAGTATGCACTTGCTTACAAACCCCAGCCCCATACTCCCCCCAAAAAACCCACCTAAAAACATGTTTTTCCTTAGCCTGGGGATGTGGTGACTGTTATGTCTAAGCTAAGCTGAATTTTGATATAAATTACTTTTAAACCTTTGAAGACAAAGTACTAAGAGACAAATGTAGCTTGACAGTCATTCAGTTGCTTTATTTGGATGTTTCTGATGGGTTGCAGATAATGGACAGAGAGATACGTTTACTCTTCTTTTACATCCCAGCTCTGCTAATGGCTATATCATACACACAATTCTGGGCAATGTCACTAAATCTATATTGTGTGTGCTTTGACTTTCTGTTCTGTAAAATAGAAATAGTAAGTATAGAACTTTTCTTATGAGTTTATGACCTAAATAACTCGAAATTTGTAGATGATGCATAACATTGAGCTAGTCATACACCTAACTCTTGTCCGGCCTCCGTCTCTTTGCCTGTAGTATCACTCATCTGTTACTATTCAAGGTCCTGGTTACTTTTCCGGAACCTTATTGATGCTCTTACTTCCTTTGTGTTTAGCATCATTGAAACACTTGATTTTGTTTGTGGTCTCAGGTAGGTCAGGAGTCTGTCTTCTTGGCCTCCACCTGGTTCTTTCGGCTCTCCCTGAGCTTTACATTTACTGACATCGAGTGGTTTGAGTTCCAGACAGTTTTAAGACTGATGCTCTGAAATTTTAATTCCTATTGAAATCAGTTGAAAAAAAAAATCATTAGAAGCAAAAAGTTTGATAGGAAACACAGAACTAAATGTTTATGCTGTTCTCCTGTTAGTAATGTATATTAGTGACTTTTCTGTTGATGTGATAAAATACGTTGGCTAAAAATAACTTGTGAAAGAGTTTTTTTGGCTTATAGCTCCAGGGGTTAGAGTCCATAATACCAGAGAAGATACAGTATGCCTGCAGGAGCGGAAACTAGCTGATCACATTGTCAAACACAAGAGAATGAGCAGGAAGTGGGTGTGGGCTACATAAAACCCTCAAAGCCCTCCTCCAGTAATGTACTTCTACTAGCAAGATCTCACCAAACTTGGGACAAAGTATTGAAAATATGCAAGTCTATTGGAGACATTTCTCATTCAAACCACCACATAATGCTTAATTAATTCTGGTATTTGAAAGTTAATTTTATAGGAGCTAGCCATTTGCAAATAAAGCATTGATTGAATCTTGTTTAAAGGCCATGTAAAGCCAAGCTGTGGTGGTATACACTTTTAATCCCAGCACTCTGGAGGCAGAAACAAATGAATCTCTGAGTTTAAGGCCAGCCTGATCTACATAGTAAGTTCTCGCACAGTGAGAGCCTATCTCAAAGTGAAAGGGCTGTAAATCCATAAGCATCCGATGCTTTCCTGGTGGTTTGCTCTCATTTGTCCTGACCCAGGCCTGGTCTAAGGGTGGTTGTTTTTCTGTTGGGCATGTATGCTCCTCTGAGCACTAATACTTGAATCTGGAGCATCTACTTGATAATTCCATTCCAGAGTTAAAGAAACGGCGTTGAAGGATACCCAGCTTAATGTATGATGTATGGTTTTTATGATAAATGGAAGAAAAAACTTGGAATTCCTGTTTGATTCAGGTTTCATGTCCTTAAAGAACTGTTCTATCTGAAGTTTAAATAGGCCAACCTTAGTTTCTTGGAATTTTTGGCTATGGAGCCACTATTAACAAAGATGACTGTTAAACATGGATAAGCAGAAATGTTTTTTGAATAGTCAAAGTGGAACTTATAGTAGGCCGGAGGGATGGCTCAGCAGTTAAGAGTTCACGTTGCTTTTGCAGAGGACCAGAGTTCAGTTCCCCATACCCACATCAGGTAGTTTACACAAAAGAGAATTATTTTTTAATGTTCTTGTTCTGATTTTAAGGAATGCAAGTTCTAACTTGTGTTTTACTGTCTGAAATCCATATTTTTCATAGGTGTGTTGGTTTTCATTTCTGGTGTTTTGCTGATGGCTAGGTACTGATGGCTGCCCTTTTCTCTTTCAGCAAGTTGAGAATCAACATAGACGTTACTGTTGCCATGAAGTGTCAGTGTGAGTACACCTTCGCTGCCACCAGTTTCAGTGTTCTTGTTCGTGGTTTTAAGAGATAAGGAGTCCATTGTAACTACAGTTTGAATTCTCACTGATCCTCAATATATGTCATACTTGAATATTTAAATACCATTAAAATTGTAGCCTTTCAAAGTAAAATTTCCTATTTTTTAAAGTCTCTGTAGATTTGCCTTATAATTTCTTTGAATCCTTAAAGTAATTCTTATGATTGATTTTGTGTTCAGCATCTTTAGTACTTAGAGGCTATTTAATTTTGACATGTTAGTCAATTAACCTCAGCTCTTTTTTTTTTTTTAACAATGTGTCATCTTTTTCAGAGCAAAAAGGAGAAAAATAAAATAATTTTTAATTTCAGAATACTGTCTACAAAAGCTACATAATACTACTGTTTTAACTTTTAAACAAATGAAAGTTATCTCAGTTGTTTTATAGCAGATGTTAGTTTTGATCGGAGTGCAGAGTGTAAAAACTTTGTTTTAATGCAGATGTTGGAGCAGATGTACTGGATTTAGCAGAGACCATGGTTGCATCTGCAGATGGTCTATCTTATGAACCAGTAAGTTTGATTTATATGGTTTTTAAAAAATGTGTGCTGGAAATACTTTAGACATTTGCTCTTAGTTTTGTCTGATTTTTTTTATTTCAAAAGTAATCTAAATTCTCTGTAGAACAACTTGTGATGAAGAAAAGTTATACCTAATATAAAATACTTGAGATAACTACAGCTGGCATTTTGGATAGGCCTCTACTGTCTGTTATATTTCAAGTTACTGCTTCCCATTAGATTCCCTTTTGTATTTGCCATAAGAATGGAAGTTTGTACTTTTTAATTATCTCAGGACTTTATGACCTATGCTACTTTCACCAAGCCTAAATCTTTAAGAACATTTGATCTGTACCTTTCTTATCACAGTCTGAGGGAATCTCATTGGCATTTACCTTTTCCAATGCTGATACTTTGATTAGTTTCAAAGTACAAGCTGTTCTTAACATAGCTGACTCACCACATAGCACATTACAGGGTAGGTATGCTTGTAATAGTAGCTGATCAGAACTAGTCCTAAAACAGCATCAGAAAAAGCATGGGGCCCACTGGCCCCATGGCCTGTAGTTTACTTGTTCATTTTTAAATTCATTTTCTTGTCACTGAGCAGACTTGCAGAATAATGACTGAAGATGGAACAAGAGTAGAATTCAGTTCATTGACTGGGTTGAAACAAGAAAACCTCTGGACTAGTTCTGATTCCTGAGTTAACTTTAGTTTACAGCAAGAAAATAATGTTTGTCTTTGATAAGTGCTTGTTTTCATTACTTTTAAGTCACTGTGACAAAATCCCTGTCAGAGGCAACTTGAGGGAGGAGCTGTTTGTTCTGGCCTACAGATTCAGAGGGCTCAGGCCATGGTTCCTTGGCCTCTGGTACTTGGGCAGAACATCATGGATGCTGGAATGTATGACAGAGGAGCTTTCATCCCATGCAGACGGGTGACAAAGAGAGACAGGAAAAGGCCAGGATAAGACACCTGAAGTCAATACCAGCCCAGTGATTTACTTCCTTAAGTTTCTACAGGCTTCCACAGTTGTACCATTCATTAGTGGAGGTCCTGGGTTTTACTTAGAAACCTGAGGCAGATAGTTAATATTCAGACCATAAAGCATTCCTAAAGTAGAAATGGTGATAGAAAAATAGTTTATTGTTACTGTAATCCCCTCTTCTGATCTCTATTTTTCCACCAACAAAGTTTATTTTATAGTATTTTACATGAAGTAAGTAAATGTAACTTACTTTATAAATTCAGATACTGTTACAACATATTAGAGTATGATCTGAAGATTTGGATCCAAATCCCAGCATTTGGACACTGTGACATTTGCATTTTATACTGTTTTCAGAATATTCAGTTATAGTGCTTTTTTATAGTTTATGTGTACTTATTTACACACGTGCATGCATATTGAGACCTGAGGTTAGCCTCTGGTGTCATTGGGAAAGGTGCTGACCACCATGTTTTTTGAGATAAGGATCTCTTTCGCTGTCCTAGAACTTAACCATTAGGCTAAGCTGGCTAGGTAGCCAGCGACTCTGGGGAACCCACCTGTGTCTGCTTCAGTGCTGGGATCACACACACATGCTGCATGTTTGGCTGTTTTGCATCAGACTCAGTTCTTCATGCTTGCAAGGCAAGTGCTTTCCCAGGCAGGCATTCTCCCTTGCCCCTGTGGCCTTTGCTCCCTACTGTTTGCTTTTTTAAGGTTTATTTATTATGTATACAGTGTTCTGCTTGCATGTATTTCTGCAGGCCAGGAGAGGGTGCCAGATCTCATTACAGATGGTTGTGAGCCACCATGTGGGTGCTGGGAATTGAACTCAGGACCTCTGAAAGAGCAGCCAGTGCTCTTAACCTCTGAGCCATCTCTCCAGCCCTCGCTACTATTCTTTATTTTGTGTTTTTTTGTTTTTCATTTTATGGGGGAAGTTTTGAGGTTTCTTTTTCAGCAAAGGTGTGTGGCTTTGTTTTGTGACTATTTCCTGTCAGGAGGAAGGGCTATGGGTGCTCGAGTTCTCACTTAGGCTGTGTCTTATCTGTTACCTGTCTCCCTACCCCATCACCAGTGTTGCCCTTTCAGTTTTAATTAGTTTTCAGTTTCAGTAATGGTGAGCTTGAGTGATTTTAAGTCCTAAAATACCCATTTTGTGCTACTGATTGATTGTCAGCTTGCATTTGTTCCTATAAATGTTAGTGACTGTACACAGGAAAATAGTTATCATTAGTAAAGCTTCTTTATGCTATCTTGGAATAAAACATTACAGATTAAATCATAAATATATCTTTGCAGTACTATAAGTTTGTTTCTTCTTCATAGAAAAACACTTAAACTGGTGCTATGTGAACAGCAAGGGATTTATTTGCCAGTGACTGTGTTCTCTTCTTTTGCAGGCAGTATTTGACCTTTCACCCCAGCAGAGAGAATGGCAGAGGTAAAGTTGAACAATGTCATCACCGTAGAAACCTAGACCGCTTTTGGTGGAAGCTATGCATATGTTAAAATATTTTAGTATATAAACAATCCTTACGAACTCAAAAAATATCTGATCTTAGGAAAGTTATATATAATCTTTCCTGTATTATATTTTGAATCATAAATAAATTTTAGTTTTTATTTAAAATTTTAATTAACTTAAAAAAATTTTAACTATGAAAATATGTGAACATTGTTTAGAATTTGGTTTGGAGCCAGGTATGATGATACATACCTGTAATCCCAGCATTTGGGATGCTGAAACAGGAGCGTCTTAAGTTTACCTCTTTCCTGAGCTAAATAGTAAGTTTCAGGACATGGGTTAAATATGTAAACTGTCTCAGAAACAGACAAAAGGTTCATTTTATAAACAGCATAAAGGAAAAGCTTTCTCATTCTGGCAACTGCAAAACCATGAGTGATGAGAACCACATGTGACTCCCTAGGAACTTTGTGTCCAAGTTTTTCATTTGTCAGTATGCTGTCTTGGTGTTGTCTGGAGGACAGGTGGGATTGTTCCTGGTGTTTGTTCTCAGAAAAAGTGCTTCCCCATCCCCTCTTTGTTCCCAAGATAGCTTATATTTAAGGTTACCTAATTTCCGATTATTACCAAAAATGTACTTAAATGTTTGTTTGTTTACTTTTTATAGACATTTTGTTTTCTAATCCCCACTACACTTGAAGAATCTTTTCGTTTTAATTACCAATTTTCCTAGCTGGAAAAATCTTAATATTGAAATTGAATATAGTTGAAGAAAGCAGTGAATATTTGGGCTTTCTGGGTTTCTAGCATTTTTACTAGAAAGCTCTATCTAGAAATGAAATATGTTACTTTTATCCAGAAATATTGAAGTGAGAGTCAGGTGTGTGTGCATACTTGTAAATCCCAGTAATTGAGAGGCTAGGGCAAGCCAGGTGGTGGTGGTGCACACCTTTAATCCCTGCACTCGGGAGGCAGAGGCAGGCAAATCTCTGTGTGTTTGAGGCCAGCCTGGGCTACAGAGTGAGTTCCAGGAAAGGCCCAAAGCTACACAGAGAAACCCTGTCTCAGAAAAAACAAAAAAAACAAAAGACTGGGGCAAGAGGATCAGTAGTTCAGAACCGGATCTGCATAGTGAAGCCCTGTCTCAAAAAGCTCAAACAGATAAACAACCAAATAACCCACCCAGAAATACTAACATGAGTTGTCTCCTCTTTAAAATTTTAAGATTTTTATTTATATGTGTGCCTCTGTGTATGCCATGTTGTGAACTGTCTGCTGTGGATGCTGGGAACTGAACTACTGGAAGAGCAGAAAGCACTTTTAACCCTCGAGTCATCTCTTCTGACCCAAGATGGCTCCTTTTATCTAGGATTCTACTAAGTATTGAAGAGGAGTAATGACTGGAAACAGACTGTTTTATTAAGTGAGAGGGCTTTCCCATCATGCTTGAGCTCTCTGCATACCTTCATACAGAGTTCACACTTGGCTATTGGTTGGTATGTTCCAAGCAGAAGTCTCACAGCTTCCTCAAACTCTTAGCTCCAAAGTTTATGTCTTTAGATGTATAAATCTGAAGATGAGATCTATTTCTTAGATCTTTCTTAATTATGTTCTGCTTCTAAATGGGTATTCTAGTATGGAGGGAGAGCTGCAAGGCCTTGTCACTTCCTAACAATGTACATACAAAAATGTTCTTTACCTTGGGAATTGGCTCTCTCAGTTGGTGTTTTGCCTTAAATAATTAGGATTGCAATATCTCTAGAAGAAAATTTCAAACCTGGACACAGCCTTTTGTGATGTCTGCTTTTTTCTTTCTAGATTTAAGGTTTATTTCAAACTAAGTTTACTGTGTAAATTTGATTTTTAATGTTAACAAAACAGGCCCATTAACCCAGTATTCTAGATGGATAGTGCATAAATATTTTCTCATTTCTATGTTTATACAATACTTTTACCATTGTGATGAAATATGGTATATTGTGAGATAAATATTTGTGTTTTTTAAGATCATATGTTTACATGTAAGTTTTTTCCTGCTTTCAAGTTCAATATTTTTTAGAATAGTTTTAAGTTCACAGCAAAGGTGAGTGGAAAGTACAGAGTTCCCATATCTCATTTTCCTTTTTCAGCATCAAGCACCAGAATGGCTTACTTGTCATAACTGATGAGACTGCATGGCCCCAACATTACCCAAGGTCTATAGTTCACTTGGGAGGTCACTCTCTTGAGAGGACAGTTGTGTGATGTCACACATCCACCATTGTATCTTCAGAGCAGTTTCATTGTCCTAAACGTTCTCTTAGTCATTGTTTCTCTCCACTGTGTGTAGTCTTCGTGCTTGCTAAGTTATGACTTGAGATATCTCGGTACTTATTTAAGATCATGTTAAAGGAGATGAATCTAAGCATTGTTTCCATTTTTAAAAAAATTTATTTATTTTACTGTGTATATTTGAATATTTTAAAATTTTTTAATTTTTAGATTTATTCATTTCATATGTGTCTGTTTTAATCCATGTCTGTGTACCATGTACTTCCTGGAACTGGAGTTATGGGCATTTGTGAACACCATGTAGATGCTAGGAATCAAACCTAGGACCTCTGCTGAAATAACAAGTGCTCTTATCCATTGTAGCCATTTCTCCAGCTCTCTGTGTATGGGTGTTTTGTCTGCATGTATGTGTGTACCACCTGTGTGTCTGGTGCTTGGAGAGGCAAGAAGATGGCATTGGATGCCCTGAAACTGGAGTTACAAATGGTGGTTTGCCATCATGTGGGTGCTGGGAATTGAATCCAGGTCCTCTGGAAGAACAGCCAATGTTCTTAACCACTGAGTCATCTTTTCATCCCCTTAAGCATTGTTTCTTAAATGCAGTCTTTACTTTATACAATCCTGTTGACTCTTTTAAAACTTATATGAAGACTAATTATAATATTTGCTTAGAATGGTCCTGTAGAATAAAGTTTACTTCTTTTGGGAAAGAAGACACCAGGTGATATTAAAAGGTGCCATGACCTAGTTTATAATAAGCCTTGGGATTGTATCTCAATAATCTGCGGCCTCCAATCCAATACCCTGCTGAATGGCCTGCAGTTATTTGTTCTTCATATCCACATCATTTACTTCAGTGCTGGCCAGAAGTCAAAACTTTGTAATATATGTGAAAGGTAAGCTTAGATACTGAGTGGAGCAAAAGTCGCCTTTTGGTGCTTCTGACTACCTGTGCCGTCCTCACTTTTCCTGAGAAAAGCTGATAAACTTTGTTCTGGAATGTAATCCTGTAGTAAGCATGGTTTTTCTCAGTCAGAAGCCTTGTTGTAGTTGAACAAGTCTTGGCTTGGTGTGTGTTTTACTGTTCTGTCACATTTAGGATGCTGCAGCTGATTCAGAGTAGGCTGCAAGAAGAGCATTCCCTTCAAGACGTGATATTCAAAAGTGCTTTTAAAAGTGCATCAACAGCACTGCCACCAAGGTGAGAGAGGTACTTCAAAGTTGTTATTTACCAGGAATTTACTTTGATGTAGTTTTAGTATTGGTCTGCTGTTCTTTCTTTGAAAGTGTTTTATACATTTAAGGTATCTTGCCCTTAAATTCTAGCCTATCATTTTGAGCTTTTTATCAAGTTACTTTACTTTTGTATGTGTGGTATATCTCTGTATAAAATTCTACTAGTTTTAAGAAAAAATAAGACTGTATATATTTTGGTTAAGAATTTATTTTTACTCCTGTGTCAGAGTAGGTAACGAGTTGTTATAATCATGAAGAAGATTTTTCAAGTTTAAAATATGCAAAGGCTTATATTGGCTTAGGAAGGAAATCCCAGTTTGCACTTGGGTGCCTTTTCCTGACCTCAGTTTCATTCCCGTCCACCTGCACCACAGTCCCAGAAATACATGAGAAAAGAATGTTGCTGTTGGACTCTTCTTTGATTTTCAGAGTTCTCCTGCATTGAACTTAATCCTTTGGGTAGATTTGAAGATACATAATGATGTGTATTTATGTAAATATAGTAGCTGTATAGCAACTCAAGTGGATTTAAACTACTACTTTAATCTTGACATTTAGGACATTAGCTAAAAATTTGTCTTTAAGGAGTCTTTTTTTCCCTGTGTGCCCTTTTCACACCGGTACATGGTCTTTGTATCAGATGTGCATTAAGACACCTGAATGTGTCTTGCTTTACAGGGAAGATGATGTATCACTGACTCCAGATGCGTGCAGAATCCACGGCCATCTATATGTCAATAAAGTAGCAGGGAATTTTCACATAACTGTGGGCAAGTATGTTCTTTTCACTTTCTGAAGTTCTTTAAATGGGGTTGGAGCTTGATTAAAATCATATCTTTTCCTGATCAGGTAGTGCACAGGTAGCCACAAAGGGCACTTAAAGTGTTGTCTGTGAGTAAATAGGAATTAAAACCTCTTATGGTAACTTCTGTAGCCAGAGAGCCCGACCCTAGATGCTTCATCTGTGTGTTCATTTATTCAGAGTAGGTTTTTGTTTTGTTTAGCCCTTTGGTAATTCTCATCAAAATGAGTCCTTAAGTAATTCTAGAAAAAGTCAAACGTTACTGGTATCTAGAATGAAGTAATTTAGGTAGCAGCTTAGGAAAAGTGTCACTTACTCCTCTGAATATAATCGAGTGTCACAAAAAGCTCTTGGTAGATTTCACCATGGAAGAGCGTCCCCCTCCCCAGCTTCCTCCTTCCATGGAGAGCTGATGAGTTCTTCACTGTCTAAGCCGTTGTTTTGATACTTGCTGTATGCAGAGGACTAGTCTGGAGATCAAACAGTGGAAAAATAGGGAAGTCTTTACTCCCCCTGGGTGCTGAAGCCCTACTGGAATATTCAAACTTTGACCAGTAAATACATTAGGTATTACTTAATTATAGTTGTATTGAGGCTTTAAAGGAGATTATAGCTAATAAGAAAAATTATGTAACATAGTCTGCAATTGTATGGGGAGTTAGGAATTTATATATAAAGTAAAGGAGAGCATGTCAGAGAAAAGAACCTGATCAAAGGGTGGTTTTGGGCTTTTTTGTTTATATAGAGAGGACATTAGATTTTTATCAGGAAAGACATCATTGACTATAATGATCAGATCAAACTTTATTTTTTCTTTGTTGTGCTTTTCTCCTGCAGATTCAAACTTTGTTGTTTAGTGCTCATTTACCCATCTGCAGCATGGTCCTGGGGACTTTGAAACCTTGGCACCATGAGGCAGCACTTGATGGAGAGTGCTCATTATAGCTTTACATGTAAACAGTGTCCTAGTTCAGAAGGAAACCTAATATGAGCATATGTATTATGTCCTATATTTTATTTTTGGCTCTTTTTCCCCCAGTTTCATACCTTTCAGATGATAACTTAATATATAACAGACCCCAGAGGAAAAGCTTTTGTTGTTTGTGTCTCATAAACTCACGTAGACTCACCTTTTATTTTTTGGTGTTAGCTTTGTCAAGCTCAGTATTGATCCTATTACTGTTGAGTGCAATGACAGACCTAGCTGTTCAAAGGGCATGAGTATGGTGTTTGAATTTCAGTATGTAAGTGCTTGGACATGTGCACACCAGAATGCCGAAGGAAGATGCATATACTTGGCATTTAGGCATAGAGTTGTGACCAGGTAAAACGTGCAGGCTACTCAGATGATGAGTGCCATATTTTTTGATGGGATGGCATTTGAACACTGAACAACACAGGATAGTGAATCTTTCCTAAGCTTCTAGCATATGTTCAAGCAACCATGGGTCCTCTGTGTAGCAGAACAGAGTTGAGGCTCAGGTCAGTAGTTTCTCATGTGTGCATTGTTTCAGAGGGCACCTGAGAGTTCTCTGTGTGAGATATGGTTCTCTGCAGGATGTTTTGTTTCCTGTCTGTGGTTCATGGATGCCAGTAGCATCCCTAACCTCATAAACCGGTAAGTGCCACAACCCAAAAGCCATTCTTCAACCTTATGGAGGTTCAGAACTTTTCTCCTTCCACTGCTGGGTCCCATCCGATGGGTTAGATAATAGGTCAGAAAACAGGCAGGAAAATGGAAGCATTTTTAGTAAGTGTCATCAGCATTGGGGTAACTGAATTTCGTTTTTAACATTTGTGGTTTTGAAGGGAGGTGCTTGCTTATGCTGCTAATCCATAAAATTTCAGTTTATGTTTTCTAAAAAAAAGGGGAAGACATAATCTAAAACAATTCTGAGTTCTTCACAGATCTTAGGTTGTGAGAGACTATTGACGTCAACCATAATGTTATAGTTTGTTACTTGATTATTTAGAAAAGTTCCTGTCCCTAAATTTGAAGCCTACAGTAGGAACACAAAGCGATGGTATCAGTGGGACAGAACTGTGTCTGTTCAGTGCACTCAACCAAGTGCAGGCAACTGCCAGAGGGAGCTAGTAATCCTTCTCATAATATGGAAGTGCTCTGTATAGAATGGTAATGTATTTCCATTACATTGCCTCTTTTCAAAGTGTCTGTTCTGCAGAACAAGGTAGACACTAGTTAAGACATGTTGGGGCACACTAGAACTTGATAATGACATTATTACTAATCAGGAAAGATGTGTGCATTATGGAAAATTTCATGTGTGTGTTTTAGTTGCTAAAATTAATTACTGCGTAAAGCACAAATGAAGAATAGCATGTGGAAATCCTCACAGTGATGTTTCAACTTTTTATTTTTAAACAAGAGCAGGAAAGGATAGTTGTTATTCTTAATAGTACCAAAAGAATAAAGAACAGGCTAAAATTGAGAGAGAACAAAGGCTTATCACAAGTAAGTAGATGACAGCATGGATTCCAGATGCAGCCTACTACCTTTTTCATTATTGAGAGAAGTTCAGATTTGCATTCAAAAAGTGAAGTTTTAGCTGGGCCTGGTGGCACACACTTTTAATCCCAATGCTCAGGTGGATCTCTGTGTTTGAGGCCAGTGTGGTCTACATAGTGAGTTCCAGGCCAGCCAGAGTTACATTGTGAGATTTCTGTCTCACTCCCCTACTGCCCAAGAGATGAAGTTTATTGAAAGGTAGCCATTCTTACTTGTTTCTGCAGGACCCTTTTACGTTACAGTGTCATACTGAGGGTGGAGCAGTTGACCTGACTGCGTAGTGGTCTCAGTGCGCAGTGGTGTTGCTTGGTGCACCACAGGGCAGGTGCCAGGGTCATACACTACTGCACTTAGTTATTATATTACCATGTAAAAACCAGGCTCCTGTAGCTGGAATTTTCTCTCCGGGTCCCGCCAAGCCCCGGCAGTCCCTTAGCCCACTTATAAAATAAACACACAGACACTTATATTATTTAAACTACTTGGCCATTAGCTCAGGCCTATCATTGTCTAGCTCTTACTCTTATATTTAGCCCATTTCTATTAATCTATACTTTGCCACATGGCTCGTGGCTTACTGGTTCCTTACATCTTCCTTGTCCTGGCGGCGGCTGTAGGCAGTCTCCCCCTTCCCTTCCTGTTCCCTCAATTCTCCTCTCTGTTACCCACCTATACTTCCTGTCTGGCTACTGGCCAATCAGTGTTTTATTTATTAACACAGTTGCCATACAGAACATCCCACAGCAGGCTCCAGTTGTTATACTTTTTAATTTTTTGAGACAGGGTTTCTCTATGTAGTTTTGGTGCCTGTCCTGGATCTTGCTCTGTAGACCAGGCTGGCCTTGAACTCACAGAGATCCACCTGGCTCTGCCTCCCAAGTGCTGGGATTAAAGGCGTGCGCCACCACCGCCCGGCATAGTTGTCATACTTTTAAATCATCATCTAAGTTGGGTACAGAATATTGTGATAAATATAGTGACACTGTGGCTGCACTTAAAGAACACAATGTATGTTGTTACTATTAGGCTGACCAAGCACTCATCACAGTAGTCCCAACTTCATAGAAAAGCAGCGGTCAGGAAGTTAGAAAGTTTGAAGTAAAATGTTTAGTAGAATTTCTAAGTAAAAATGAAGTTACAGTCAAGTGTCTGCATGTGTTACTGGTGAGCCAAGCAAGAAAGATCCTGTACTTCTAGGTTAGTGAAGTGTGTTTGATGGCAGCAGCTGAAGACACACATTCATTATAGGCAGGTTGGCCTTGGACCATTAGCTTCAGTGAGAAAGTGCTTCAGCAACTGAGGACAGTGAGCCTAGTACCCAGTAGTCAATCAAGAAGCAAGATAGGGCTGGAGACATGGCTCGGTGGTACAGAGTGCTACCTACTGCTGCCACAGAGAGATGCATTTCTTTTCCTGCACTCACATTGGGGAGCTCACACTCCACCTGTAGCTTCAGCTCCAGGGGATCTGACACCCTCTTCTGGTCTCCAAGGGTGCTGCACTCACATGCATATCCAGACACATAAACATATATGATTAAAAATCAAACATACATATTTTAAAAAAGCAAAAGAGGTGACAGGCTGGGCCTCCTGTGATCCTGTGTGGCATAGGTGCTGCATGTTGTTTAGTGGATTTGACGAATCAGTGCTTCGTTGAAAATAATGCTGTAATTAGTGTCTGTAAATAGTCTGTGTTAAATAGCTGAGAGAAGGCTGTTTTAACAAGTGAGACCTCCAGTTCCACAGCCTGAAGTATCATCTGCTGAAATGTATTGTTAACTAGTAGTCATTCCATTTGCTCTTGTGAACTTAATATTGTTCATTTCTGTGACTTTTGTTAAAAATAAAAGCTCAGCATTCCAGTTTGGCCTCTGCACAGCAGCTGGATGCTTGAGCGGTTGCAAAGTTTTATTACATTTTTTGTTTTTGTTCAGTGCTTTAGATATTAAACGTTGTGAATGCTTGATAGAATGTTTCATAATAAATTTAACCTAAAATCATCAGGGAAAACAGTATTTACATATAAACTGGTGGTGTGGCAGAGTTGCTGCAGTAATGTGGTGTGGTGGCTCTGCGTGGCTCCTCCAGCCTTTGGAGCTTCAGCAGACTGATGCGGAAGTTGCTGTGGGAATCAAGGCCTCCAGTCTCAGATCTAGCATGTCTCAGCTCAGACTGTGGTTCCAGGTGTCAGACACCAGAGCAAGTACAAAGGAAGTTTTAAAAATCTGTTGGGCAGTTTAGGAAATTCTGCCTTGCCACGGACTGGCCCATCGGGGGTACCATGACCGTAAGGGAACCAGGGCTTGGGTAGACAGACAACACACTCAGAAGTGGTGTGAATCTGCTGCAATTTTACTTTTGTAAATCAGTAGTTTATATACAGAAAAGAAAACTATCAAGTCATACAAGGAACAACAAGGGCTTGGCAATAATTCAATTACATCATCTTTAAAAAACAGCAAGCACACAATTGTTAATTGGCGCTAGACATATCCCTTCATCCACAAGAACTTTATGACCCAAAGAGCAGTTTGTGATTTCTAAACTTAGTACAGTCCCTAGTGTAGACTTCTTGCGGTTGCAGCTGTGTCCTTCATCTTATCTCAGCCGCTTGCTAGTTTATTATACACTTCTACTTTTCTGGTTCTCATGACCCACTTAGCCAATTTGGATGCTGCAGACCCTCTCTAAGTCTTTCTTTAGTTCTCCACCACATATCTCTTCTAATATCAAACCTTTTTACCTGCTGGAATATGGACTCTTGTACTTTTTTGCCTGTAAGGGGAAGGGGTTCTGCTGTAGTCCTTAAGTTTCCCATGCTGAACTTCCTCAACAGAGGGGCCCACCATCTGCCTCCTATGAGATAACGTTTTCTGCCATAAATCACTTTAGTTGGGATTCCTAAAGGATTCCTAGTGGGTGAGTGTTCATTCCCTAGAAGTGTCTGAACCTTTATACTTTCTTTATCTAGCAGCTTGGTGTCTTAAAAAATAGCTCATTCTCCTATATCTGATTAAGATCCATGTCCAGCTTCCCCTTTCCTCCATAGTTCACAACCCAAGCATTCATTAATTTTGGCTGTGCTTCATAGATTAATTAGAACATTATCAGAAAAGCAGTTATACAGAACCCATAGCCCAGGGAGCTCATGATCCGTGAAGCATGTCTCCTTCAAGAAGGAAGCATAACACGGGCACTCTGCCAGGGACCTCCAGGGAGCTTAGTCCCGTGGGACACGTATCTCCCGTCTGCTATTATTGACATAATTGTTCATGTCACACGGACGACACTGGAGTTGGTGTGGCAGTGCCTTAAGTTGGAAATTGCTGATCTGTGATATACAAAATATAAAGAGAAGACTCTTAATAGTATTCTAGAAATGTCTTCAAGGGAATGAATGGGCTCAGTTGAAGCATGCTTATGGATTTGTGTTTTCAGAGAGGAAATGTGAAATGTTTTAGGTCATTACCACACACATTTGAGATCATTTTTGAAATTAGGAACACCAACTTTAAACCTCAGTGAGCAAAGAAGTTTCCCTGGAAAGCACTCGTGAGCTACAGAATGAACTCAATTATTAGGGTTTTGTGTTTCATTGATAATTGTTTATGAAATGGTGTTCTCATTATGTGACCATGTAATACCCTTGGTTTCTATCATCTGGGCTCATAAATACTTCACATGTTTTCCACTTGGCTTTTTGCAGCTCTCAGCTTATCGCCTTGCTGAGATGGCTTAGCTATGGGCCAGATGTACTACTCTCACTTTTCGATACAGGCTGCTGATTGACAGGGAAGGTTGGCTTTCTTGTTGGTTATGTGTTTGTTTTTTCCTCCTTGCAGGGCAATCCCACATCCTCGAGGGCATGCACATTTGGCAGCACTTGTCAACCATGATTGTGAGCAATTTCTGAGATTTTGTTTCAGTGTAGAAAAGTTTTCAAGAGAAGTTAATTTTTGTGTGTGTGTTTTTCATTTGTTTTAGTGCAAACACAAGGTAGAGCTTTAAAGGTAAACTTGATGGCACACACCTTCTACCTTTAATCCCAGCAACCCTAAGACAGAGGCAAGTGGATTTCTGTGAGTTCTGTGCCAACCAGGACTACATAGGGAGATTCAGTCTCAAAAATAAGTAAATAAAAATGTTAGCTAAGTGTGTCGGCACTTGTTACCCCAGCACTTGGGAGGCTTAAGCAGGGGGATTGCCATGAATTTGAAGTTAGCCTGTGCTACATAATGAGTATCATGTCAGTGAATGGAAGGACCCTGTCACAGAAAGCAAAAGCCAAACAAATAAAGTAAGCTGTTTAAAAATTGATATCCAAAAAGAAACAAAAACTTGGTATCCATCTAGAGGAGAAAAAAATTAAAAGTATTGCTTCAAGTCTATTCTATTGGTACATTCACAGTACTTCTCTTTGTTCACTGCCCAGAAATCCCTGCAGTTAGCGGGCAACCCAGGAGTGCTTTGTGTCATTCAGTACACATCCAATAACAAAGAGACAATATCTGAAGTTGACCTCAGTTTGTAGATCCAGATACAGTCGTGTTCACACATACACACACACACACACACACACACACACACACACACACACACACAATTACAATTACTTCAGTACAATGATTATTGTAAAATTTAAGTGTTTCTGGAGAGTAGAATTGAATGAAACATGTTTTCATGTGGCCTGGTTAATATAAGACTGCAGATAGCCTTGGGTGACCTAGAACAGCTGATCCTCTTGCATCTGCCTTCCAAGTGCTGGGATTACAGGCTTGTACCTCTGTACCAAGCAAGACTTTTTTCTTAAACTTTGCTTTTAGAGCAAAATAAATTCTATAAAAATCAGTTGGTCATAGTAATGGTGTGTATTGAAAATATCTGCGATCATTTTCATTATTTGACTAACATCATCCTATGTGTTTTATTGGCATGGTCTTGTTTATATGCGATGATTAGAATCAAGAAAGTTTATGTTTTGGACATCAGGATTAAACAAGGCATGTAATAGAAATTAATTTATATATAACCATAAGATTTAAGGCAGCATTTTTATCTGGATTTGCTTATTTTGTGTGTTTTTCTTAACATGCTGTTTTAAGTATTATTAAGCTTGAAGTTTTAGGTGACTTTGAGAGTAAGTGAGAGTATAAAACCACCTGTAGCATGATACTCTAAAGAGTAATATAATTTCTCCACCTTTATCTTTTTATCTTAGCTTACAACTTTTCTCACAGAATAGATCATTTGTCTTTTGGAGAGCTTGTTCCGGGAATTATTAATCCTTTGGATGGAACTGAAAAGATTGCTGTAGATCGTGAGTATTTAATAATTGCTTTTAGAATTTACATACAGGAAGTTGCTCTTAAAACCTTAATATTGATGTGTTTTTACTCCTATCTTGTGAAGCTAGTCTTTAAATGGCTGCTGAGTATGTGGTAGAAGTGAATGGGATTAGAATGTTAAAAAGTAAGTCCTACAACAGATTGAAAAGATTAAAAGGACAAGAGGGTTGATGTGTTGGTGGTAATGGTGTAACTGTCCTTTCCACAGTCACCAGAGAAAGAAGTTCTCTTGTCACAGGTTCAAGGCTCTAGAATGCTGTGTGCTTTTGTAGGAAGTTCCCTGCAGAATGTCACCAACTCAAGAAACCTAGAGTTACTCCAGAGTGGAGTGGTGTTGTGTATATAATCAGGTGTGTGGTGTCACAGCAGTCATGTACATTTGTTTTTAAGCCTCTACTTACTCGAGCACTGAGGATTATTTTCTTAGTTTTATAGCAAGTGGTGCATAGCCTGTTTTCAGGTGACTTTGTTGTTATTTTGAGATAGTGTTTTACCGTTCAGATGAGGCTGGCCTGGAAGTAGCAATGTAGCCCAAGATGACCTTGAACTCACAGCAATCCTTCTGGGATTACAAGCTTGTGTTACATGTGAGTTTGGTTTTGGACATTGATTTTTTTTTTTTTTTTGTAACTTACATTAACCCTGGTGATGCCCGGTGACCATAAACTGACCCTTTGATTGAACAGTAATCACTGAACAGTTTGTCTAGTTACCTTTTTGCTGTAATGTCACTTTCAGTATCTGGCAAATTCGACTTCAGTTTACTGATATATTTAAGATTAGCAGACATGAGAACTACGATTACTGTTGCAATGACATCTAGGTTCCAGCAATGTTTCTACTCTGAAGAGATGCTGCCTTTGCCTTCTTTCGTCCCGTTCATGGTTGTCAGTGCCTGAACATATGAGCACCTGCACACCTTGTATGTCTTAACTTGGGCTTTGTTTTACCAAATATGACTGTATTGTCTTCACTTTTTAAAAATATTTATTTTATATCCTGACTGCAGTTTGCCCTCTGTCCTTTCCTCCCAGTCCTTACCTCCACTCTGTCTCCTCCCCTACCCACTCCTCTGTTTCTGTTCAGAAAGAGGTAGGCCTCCCATGGATATCACCAAAACGTAACATATCAAGACTAAGCACCTCGCCTTGTATTAAGGCTGGGCAAGGCGACTCAGTCTGAGGAATAGGATCCCCAAAACCAGCAAAAGAGTCAAAGACAGCCCTTGCTCCCACTATTAGGAGTCCCATAAGAAGTCCAAGCTACATAACTGTCACATACATGCAGAGGACCTATATCAATCCCATGCAGGCTCCCTGGTTGTCAGTTCAGTCTCTGTGAGCCCAGGTTAGTTGATCTGTGGGTTTTCTTGTGTCTGATTCCTCTGGGTCCTACAATCCTTCCTCTCCCCCTTCAGGAGGATTCCCCGAGCTCAGCCTAATGTTTGACAGTGGGTCTCTGCATCTGTTTCTACCTGTTGCTGGATGAAGCCTCTCTGATAACTGTTGGGCTAGGCACAAATCTATGAGTATAGTAGAATATCATTAGGCATCATTGTATGGACTTTTTTTTCCCCCCTCCTGTCTGGTTTGGTTCTATCCTGGTTCTCTGGGCCATCCAGCCTCTGGGTCCTGACACTTCAGGCAATGTCAGGTGGGCTCACTCTCATGGCATGGATCTCAGTCTCAACCAGTCATTGATTGGCTACTCCCACAATCTCTGTGCCACCCTTACCCCAGCATATTCCAAAGGCAGGACAGACTGTAGGTCGAAGGTTATGTGGCTATGTTGGTGTCCCAGTCCCTCCACTGGTAGTCTTGCCTGGCCACAGGAGATGGCCAGTTCTTAAAATTACTTATTACATCAAGCATGGGGACCCCCTCACTTCTTGTGTCCTAAGTATAATGTTTTCATCAGCTTTTCTTTCTTTTAAAACTGTTTATCTACTACATACTAAAGCAAATGGTAATATTAAATTTCAAGTTTGTCATATTTAAAAGAAGAGTAGATTTGATAGTATTCTATTGCTACCAGATTGATGAGAAGACATATTTTGTTTTTATTATAGACAACCAGATGTTCCAATATTTCATTACAGTTGTGCCAACAAAGCTACACACATACAAGATTTCAGCTGACACCCATCAGTTTTCTGTGACAGAAAGGGTGAGTCCTAATCGCTAAGATGATTGAGGGAGGGATTTTTTTTTATGGTTCCCCAATTGCAAGGTAAGATTGGAAATTTAGTAGGCATCCCCCCCCATTTAAAAATTTATAGAAGTTTTGAAATGAATTAACATTTTAAGCAAAAATGTACCAGAAATGGATATTAGTGTGCATGTTCTAAAGTTTAAAAAGATTAAAAAAAAATATTGACCATGCCTTTATTACAAATTAAACTATGATGGCAGAAGTTACTTTATGAATTTCAATTTGTATATTCTTCTTTATTGATGTAAGCAGCTCCTAATCTGCCTCTATCGTCAAGTTTTCTGGTTTCTTGGTTGTTTTTTGTAAGTGTTCCTCGCTGAATGTGCACAAACTCTGCTCTCAGCTAGTCCCTCAATGCAGCTGGGTCTGATTAAAAGGGTGCTCTCCAGCCTCAGGTAGATGGGTCTTAATGGTTTCATGGAGAGGAAGAGCAGGTTTGAACAGTGTCTGTTCTAGGTTGTATTTCATTATTATAAATCAAATTTGAAATTGGTAATACTCCTATCCCCTCGTCTGCCATGACTTGGAGAAGCACTAAATACACTTGATACTCAGGGGTACTGCCATGGCTCATGCCTTCGTCATGGTCATCTGTGGCTCTGCTGCCCTACCAGCCTAACTGTGGAACCCACAGCAGAGGTTTGGATTAGGACACCACATTGCAACACGTGTGCTGGGTTGGAGAGAACAGAGGAACTGCCTCACTTCCAGGAACTAAAGGCTCCCCACTCTCACGCCTGAAGATGCTACCTTTCTATTTTGTATGCTCTTAGGAGCCCTCCTTCCTTCTATAGCAATCACTCTTTAGCCAGGGCCACACCAGCTGAAAGAGGAACAGTAGTCAGTCAGAGAAACGGCCCACCGGATCAAAACCAGGGCAGCTGCTGGCACCAGCCTGTGTGTATTGGTTCTGTGCTGCTGCTGGGACACATTTGCCAGAAACACAGTGATGATCAAGGCAGTGTAAAATTCCTAATGCACATAGACCAGGGTGTGGTTCTGGAGGTCCGTGTGGATTGTGTTCCCTACAGATTCTAGAGGGCCCTTCCCCAGCCATTTCCAGAATCTAGAGGCATTTATACTTCCTGCCATCATATTTATTTATAATGTTGCAAATCAGTTTGGGGAAGTTCTCAGGCATGGTCACAGAGCCCCTTCCGCGAGCCTGCTGCCTCCTCCTCACAAAGACCCTGTGGCAGACTATGCTCAGTAACCTAGAATCTTCCTTGACAACCATGCCTGCAATGTCCCTTAGCCACAGAGGTCACATGTTCATGGTCCCAGAATTAGGATGTGGATGTCTTTGAAGGCCATTCTCCAGCCTGCCACAGCCTCTGTCCTTCTGGAAAAAAAAAAAAAAAAAAAAAAAGAAATTGGTAATACTCAAAAGCTGGTGTCCAAATGAATTCCAGGGCATGTGAGAGCTTTCCATTCCATTCTTCTTCATGTGATAATGCTGCAGTTGATAATAACTAAGGCCTCAGTGGGAACAAGGTTCCCCTTAGTTGTCTTAATTACGTTATTTCAGAGCACAAGTGTTAAGTGTCTAACTTTTCAAATGGTTCAGGGAACAAACACAGGTATGTATTTATATGTATATATATATATATATATATGTGTATGTACACACATGCACAGTAACTAGGTAAGTACATGTTGTACTTTCCAACATTTCTACAAGGGTAGGAAGGTGTTTCTCACCAGCAGTACTGACAGACACCTGGGAAGAAACATTGTGTAGGTTTGGCAATGCCTTGGGCAAAGCCAGCAGATGTATAGGATTATAGAATTGCTGTGGGCTATAGAGAATCTGGCTACATTTTCAAACTGGTGTGTGCATTGCTTCTGTTAAGCTATCCTTGTGTTAGTAACCCCTTTCCAAGATACAGTGGGGGAAAAAGAAGAAAAATAACCGCATGATGAGGTTATTCATTGTGGTGCTATAGTGGTAGACGACTAGAAACAGCTCAAATTATAAATCTACCCAGCAGGATATGCAACTATAAAAAAAGGATAGTATTTGAATGTGAAATCATCTCCAGGATATATTTGAAATGAAATAAAAAAGAAAAAAGTCTGTTGCGTAAGGGGTGTTTGCTATATGTGACTAAAGTATTAATCATTGTATTGAGTTTTACAGTGCAGGAAGGGAGAGGAGCTGGCCACTGTCAGTTTTGGAAGCCCAGTTTAATCATTCCTAGTCTCTCCAATGTTATTGGATGTCCTGATCCACAAGATAGCTTGCTTTATTGTAGGTGGTCATAGGATCTCCATGCCTTCGACATGATACTGAACATCAGAATTTTTGCATGAATTCACTGTTGGAAACTTGATTGGTGGCTCATTTATAAGGTCTCTGTGTTAGTAATAAGGGAGGGGATTTTGACCACAGTGTATGTGTTTTTAATGCTTACAGTTTAATTTCAGCTTAGTAGAAATAAGATGACAAGAAGTAATTGCAAAGAAACAATACAAGAGCATGTTGCAATATAAACTTGGTTTTTATTGCTTGGTTAGTTGTAAATGCATGAATAAACTGGTATGTTTAAGATGACCATTTCCAAACATAGTTAAGAATAGTTCAGTTCTGGGTTCAGTTTTCTTTTCGGAACAGTGCTTTGTTCTTTCATGCATGGCTCTCCAGCTTTTGCTTCCTAGTGTGGGATTACAGATGTGCAACACCACACCAGGATCAAGGTTATTCTTTGAAAAGCATACCCTACCAAGAACACTGGTAGTTGTCTCTGAAGAGCTTAAATTCTAGGGTTGTTCACCCTGAGGAAAGTAGGGTGTTATGTGTACATTTGTACCTTGATAAAGCATGTGTGTTAGTATCCACGTGACATGCATTCTGTTTCTCTTTCCTCCTCTCCCCTTCCTCTCAGGAACGCATCATTAACCATGCTGCAGGCAGCCACGGAGTCTCCGGAATATTTATGAAATATGATCTCAGTTCTCTCATGGTGACAGTCACTGAGGAACACATGCCTTTCTGGCAGTTTTTTGTAAGACTCTGTGGTATTATTGGAGGAATCTTTTCAACAACAGGTTAACATTCATTTCTTTGTCTAATTTCCCTTTATTTTTTTTTTGTTTTGAGATAAACTCTTACTATGTGTCTCTCACTGGGATTGTAGGCACTGGTGGCCATGCCCTGCTTTCTTTAGCTGATTTCTAAAAGTGTTTATTAAACTTAAGATGTTAGGAAGATATTTCACTGATGGAGTATGCCATAACGTTTGAAGGCCTAACACACACACACCAAAACACACACACACACACACACACACACACACACACACACACACAAATGCCTCTATTAAAAGACAGCAAAAAATATACACATTTTCATGTTTTAATATTTGGAGACTTCTTTAAATTCTAAAACTCTAAAATATATTTCCTATCCTGTAAGCACACCTATTTCACAGATTCAGTAATATAGGAAGATAATGTGGTAAGCCACATGTGTCCTGGGTGTTATTCACAGACACAGCTAGAATGGAATCCGTGTTCTGCCATTGACTTGGTAGTCCTTAGATGGTTCACCTACCTTTTCTTTTTTTTATTTTTTTGTGTTTTTTTGTTTGTTTTTGAGACAGGGCTTCTCTGTGTAACTTTAGAGCCTGTCCTGGAACTCGCTCTGTAAACCAGGGTGACCTCAAACTCACAGAGATCCTCCTGCCTCTGCCTCCCAAGTGCTGGGATTAAAGGCGTGCGCCACCACCGCCAGGCCCTACCTTTTCTGAGATGTAACTGGTTTGTAAGTGTGCTATGGGGTTAAATGAGCAAATGCCCAGAAAGCATCACAGTTGTAAATAAATTTCTTTCCCTATATACTGTATGAAGTCGTATTGTGTGGCATTTTGATTAAATCAGTAGTGCTTTTGGGTTTAGCCCAAGATTCTGGAATCTTTTTAGAGATCCATCTTCAACCCTTGGTTAGTCTGAGCTAGCAAGTTATTTATGTTCTTCGAACCCTGTGTTGTTTTGATTCATATTTCTAGAACAAGTGAACAGCTTTTCTTATGCAGGTCCCTTTATGCTTTATTTTAGTTCATTTAAATCTATGTTATTTGCAGAGTTATGTGAGAAAGTCTTGCAAAGGTTGTGTCAGGGTTGTGAGTTATGTATGTGACTTAATTTTGATAAAACATCTGTTTTTAAATCCAACCCTCTCGAGGTTTGAGCCTCAGAGGCAGCTGCAGGCTGCTGTGCTGCATTTCATGACCTATTCCTCTACAGTTATCTGCAGTATTTTATTCTTACATAGCAATTTCAAAAGCTGTTTAATTAAAAATTTTAACTTATTGTGCTCATTACAGGCATGTTACATGGAATTGGAAAATTTATAGTGGAAATAATTTGCTGTCGTTTCAGACTTGGATCCTACAAGCCCGTCCATTCTGTAAGTGATACTGCACGTGTTTGTCTCTTAGTCATGTTGTTGTCCTTAAGTCTAAATAGAAAGGATTGCCCCCATAAAGCCTGGTGATAGAGATGTCTTATAGAGTAGAACTAACACTCTGGTCTTCTCTTCTCCTCCCCTTAGGTCCCCTTTGAAGATGGCCACACAGACAACCACTTACCTCTTTTAGAAAATAATACGCATTAGCACCTCCTGGGTGGAAAAAAAACTTTTTGCCTGAAACGTAAAACCTTTTCTAATAATAAAATGTTGTGCAATATATTCAAAGAAAAGAAAATATGAGAACCGGGAAACATGCTTATTTAAAAAAAGGAAAAAACCAGCCAAGGAAAAAAACAAACTGAAGTCGTCCTGTATATGTTGTGTCTGTTACAAATGTCCTAGAAGAAATTATGCAGCTAACTGGAGGCCCAGCCAGAGTGCCAGGAGAAGACGGCACCTCTGATGCTCTCCCAGCAAACGGACAGCATGGAGAGCAGAGCCTAGAGGACGGAAGTGAGACCGTATTTAAAGAAAAGGGCATTGATAAATGCAAACGTGTGCGTCCTTTTGTTTTTAAAAGATGTCAGAATAAAATGTGTAAAACATATGGAAAACTAGTCTAGACTTTAAAAAACTGTAATCAGCTCATGTGGTTAATAAAGGAAACAGGGGCTGGCCCTGTGTTACAGCCATATTAATGTTAAGCCATATTGACAAGACCATGTTGTCCAGTACTGGGTTCTGGTGGAGGTGACTGCTTTCCTTTGAACTCCAGTTGGTGACTTTCCTGACTGTTAACAGTCAATTCTTAGAGATTAAGGTGAAGTTTCCCAAGGGCAGGTATATAAGTGCTATGATATGTAACAGGTACCACTCACAGCTGTACATGGGACACTGCAGGGAGAAGAAAGCCCAGTTTAAAAAGACTGAGGGAAAGAAAAGTATGCTTGTGAGGAGTTGAAACAAGGATAGCTAGCAGATGGATGAGGCGGTGTTGTGTACAAGACTGTCAGCTCTGAGCAGCATAGGCACCACCGTAAAACTTCACCAGGAACAAAGTGCCGCCCTTGGGGCTCTGGGCAGAACTAATGAAGCTAAAGCAACTTGAGGGAGCCCTGTCGGTGCTGTTAGAAAATGCTGGCTTTGTGTGCCAGCCGGTTTTCCTCTTGGGAGGCTTGAGGGCAGAAGCAGAAGCATCGGTTAGTCTCCGGAGGATGAATGACTGAGGGAGAAAACTGGGTTTCTGTCGCTGTCAGACCCAGGACTATACTAACAATGGAGGCTTCTGGTGTGGCCTGTCACAAATTACTGTTTTTTCAAGTGAATGTTTTTACAGATTAAAAAAAAAAATGCTTTCTTGAAAGAGAGTAGGCAATCAGGTGGAGAGACAGCAGCAAAGCACGCAGCAGTTAAGTGTATGAAAAATGGCATTTTGTAGAAAATAAAATTTTTGGTTAAAATACACAGTATTAAGAACAATTAGGGGTTAACTGACTAATAATGTAATAATGTTTTAAATTTTAAAATAATCCAGGAAATTTCAGATAATTCTCTGAGGTTTTTGTTTCTTTGTGGCTTTTTGTTTGTTTGGTTTTGTTTATTCCCTTAAATTTTATAGTTGGGCTAGAAACAGAACATCTCTCCAGAAGAATTTTGTTAGTAAGAACTGGAATGTTGCTTTTCTGTGTCTACTGCTAGAAAATTCAGTCAGATTTCAGGGAAGAAAATACTGATTTAGAGTTACTTTCAGTATTACAATGTCTTTAAAAGATTTAAAATTATTTTTAATTGTTTCCATGTTTTTTACGTGCCACGTTAAAATCTTACTGGGATGTATCTTTTTCATTAAAATTGACTCTACAGGAATTTGTTCAAAGCAAAATTTTCTTTGCCATTAATTTCCATTTTAAAAGCTAAGACTTTGATTTTCAAATAGTCAGGGTCACATTTTTGTCTGTAAAAGAATGAAAATTCTGACCATCTGTTTGGGTGATGAAGGCAGCTACAATTAGGATTTGTGGAGAGAACTTTTGGCCTTACCAGGGTTTTTTTCCATGCCAGATATCCCTCTCTGACCTGCCATAGCCTTCCTTATGCCTGTGGATCCCTAGAGCCAGGATACCCAAGTGTCTATTCAATCCAGTCTTTTTAATTTTATTAAGATAGTCTGGAGCCAGGATACCCAAGTGTCTGTTCAATCCAGTCTTTTTAATATTTTTAAGATAGTCTGTGTGTGCGCGTGCATGCGTGTGTGCATGCATGTGTTCAATCCTAATATTTTTAAGTCTGAGGCCTCATTTACTTGAAATGTATTTTTTATACTGTTTGTATTTGTATACCTTGACTGTAAAGACAGTAAATAACTAGGTGAATAAATTACTGTCAAGTGTTTAAACCCTTGACTATCTACCTCCTGAGATAGCCTGACTCAATATTAGAATGGCAGATCCACTTGTTCTCAACTTAGAAGAGTATTGGACACTTCTGGTTTTCTTTTTTTTATCAGATACACAGAAAAGCTGTCTATTTCATTATCAGAATTTGTCATCTGAAACAACTTACAGTCTTAACTTTAAAGTGCATATAAGATGTAATATTTTGATAGATGTGTTGTCATTCAAATGCCAGGAAGTAAATTTACATGTAACTCCTTTACTTCAAAATTCTGTCTACACTTGTACTTTAGATACATTTTTTTTTCTGGTATAAGAAATACATGATCCAGAACCTTGAGATCTTTAAAGCATTCAGCATGCCATTTAATCTTGTAGCTTCTCTTGTATAAGCTTCTCAGATTCTTTATAACACTACCAGGATAATGATAGAGCCTGCTGTGGCATGCATCTGTCCTGGTGTGGTATGCACTTGTCCTCCTGGTGTGGCATGCACTTGTCCTCCTAGTGTGACATGCATCTGTCCTCCTGGTGTGGCATGCACTTGTCCTCCTGGTGTGGCATGCACTTGTCCTCCTGGTGTGGCATGCATCTGTCCTCCTGGTGTGGCATGCACTTGTCCTCCTGGTGTGGCATGCACTTGTCCTCCTGGTGTGGCATGCATCTGTCCTCCTGGTGTGGCATGCATCTGTCCTCCTGGTGTGGCATGCACTTGTCCTCCTGGTGTGGCATGCACTTGTCCTCCTGGTGTGGCATGCACTTGTCCTCCTGGTGTGGCATGCATCTGTCCTCCTGGTGTGGCATGCATCTGTCCTCCTGGTGTGGCATGCACTTGTCCTCCTGGTGTGACATGCATCTGTCCTCCTGGTGTGGCATGCATCTGTCCTCCTGGTGTGGCATGCACTTGTCCTGGTGTGGCATGCATCTGTCCTCCTGGTGTGGCATGCATCTGTCCTCCTGGTGTGGCATGCACTTGTCCTCCTGGTGTGGCATGCACTTGTCCTCCTGGTGTGGCATGCATCTGTCCTCCTGGTGTGGCATGCACTTGTCCTCCTGGTGTGACATGCATCTGTCCTGGTGTGGCATGCACTTGTCCTGGTGTGGCATGCATCTGTCCTCCTGGTGTGGCATGCACTTGTCCTGGTGTGGCATGCACTTGTCCTCCTGGTGTGACATGCATCTGTCCTCCTGGTGTGGCATGCATCTGTCCTCCTGGTGTGACATGCATCTGTCCTCCTGGTGTGACATGCATCTGTCCTCCTGGTGTGACATGCATCTGTCCTCCTGGTGTGGCATGCACTTGTCCTCCTGGTGTGGCATGCACTTGTCCTCCTGGTGTGGCATGCACTTGTTCTCCTGGTGTGACATGCATCTGTCCTCCTGGTGTGACATGCACTTGTCCTCCTGGTGTGGCATGCACTTGTCCTCCTGGTGTGGCATGCACTTGTTGTCCCAGCACTGGGGAAGCAAAGACAGGAGGTCCCTGGGGCTTTCTGGCCAGCTAGTCTTGCTGAATCAACAAGCTCCAGTTTCAGTGAGACACTGTGTGAACAAATAAATGGAAAATGATGGAGGAAGACGCCCATCGTTGACTGCTGTCCTCCACACACGGTACACGTACATATTAATAGCACAAACATGAGCCATGAGTGAGTTTGTAGACAATTGACAGGATTACAGTCAGTAAAGCAAGTGTTTGGGGTCTTCTAATAGTATTCTAAAATTCTTAGTGTAACTCATCTGTGCACTTTATGTAATACCTTAAAAGAACTCATACGGCGCAGGGAGATCCCTTTAATATAGGCTTGATGCCAAGCAGGCCTGCATCTATCACTAGTAATGCTGTGGAAATTCTTTGGATTTGTTTTTCAGAACACTTGTTTACAGGTCACTTGGATAGCTGTAAGTTTTTTCTCCTGTCAATTTGGGTGTTGAATTTGGGGTCCCTATGCTGCTGAGAAGTCCCCGCCACCAGCTCTGCTTTTTATTAAAGTGTATTTTTTCTAGAGTTGACGCATGTTGTTCTACCTCATGTCTCTGACCCTAGGACTCAGTATTTTAGGTAAAATGGGAAGATGCTAAAAAACGTTCCATGGCAGAATACATGGTTCTGCTTAAACTTAATTCCAGGTAAGCACTGTTTGCCATAGAAGTAGCCATACTTTGTCATATAATATCCAAAACCTAGCTATTGCTAGGCTTGTTTTATTAACTTTTTAACCATGTTTTTAAAGCTGATTGTAGGCAGTAATTTTTTTTTTTTACACTTCTCTGGACATAAAGAGACCAACACTGCTTTTCAGTGTTCCAAGATAGCAGGACCACAGTTCAGAAAGGTAGCCACATGAGCCCTGTGAACTTTAAAAGTTACTGATGATTTTAGAAAGTAGATCTGACTTAATTTTTATGTTGGTTGTGTTATAATAATGTGCTTTCAGTAGGAATTGTCCCTATAAGCTCATATTTGAATGCTTAGTCACCAGGGAGTGGAAGTGTGAAAGGATTAGAAGGTATGGCTTTGGAGGAATTTTGTCAACAGGGTGAGCTCATTTCAGGCCCAGTCTCTGCCTGCAGATAAGGGTGTAGCTCTCAGGTACTGCTCCCACACCATGCTCCCTGCCATGATAATAATAGCCTCTTAAGTATAAAAGGAAGCATTAAATAGGAGAGTTGCCTTGGTCATGGTGTCTTTTCACAACAATAGAACAGTGACTTAAGACAAATATTCTTTGGAGTTCCCTGTTTACTTCTATTGTAAATTATTTAAATGAGTTAGACGTACTAGGTGAATACAAAAGTATGAAGTTTTTCTGAAGTGTGTGTCAGCATTAGTTGCCTTAGTGGCTGTCTGTCTGATCACTATCAAATACCATGTGGGTACAGACTAGACATTCCCAAGACTTCCTATTTGTATGTTTTTACTAGTCTATATTAATAGAATAAAATACAATGGTTCATGTTGGCATTTTTCTCAAATGTAGAGAAGACATTGGTTGTAATCAAGCCTCCTTTTTTATCAGGACTTCTTTTCAAGCATGTACCTGTATACTTTTAACTCTGCACCCAAGTAGATTTTTTTTTCCTATTGTGTATATATTGGGATTCATATAGTTAATTGGTCCTGGGGTGGATTTCTCAATGGTGGGAACTTCTTTCACATAGTTACTTTTCCTGTTTAGGCATTGCAAGATAAATTTGTGCCACAGTTCTGATGCCACAGAACACTTATGCAAATACAATCCCATTGGTGTGGCAAGAAAAGGTGGCATCAGTGTGTAGCTTAAGTTTATCTCCTTTTTCC